AGACGTTTTGGCATGAGACGTTTTGGCATGAGACGCTTTCGCGTGAGACGATTGATTGTATAGTTATGGCAAAAAGCGGACCAACGCCTCCGGCCAATCAAGGAATGGGAGGACCCTTATATCACAGCCGTGTTGATCGCTCTCGCTCAAGGGCAGAGATATACACTACAACAAGAGGAAGGGCCGCCAACAGCAAGTGAAGTAAGAGGGGGTGAGGGCAAGACAAAAGATAAATAGCTCGTGTCATCATCTACATACTGACCGCCAACGCCTCCTTCACAGACGGCTGGCTCCACGCCGCCACCACCACTAGAACACTGCAAGGTATTTCCGTCCGTTGGAGGACTGTGTTCTCGTCTTCTTGTTTAACTTATAATAAAGTCGGTCTTGGAAGGTTCACCTCCTCGCCATGTTTGCTCAATGCCTCTATCTCTATACAGCGCGTATCTCCTGGACCTACCTCGACAGGTTCAACATGCCATCGCGGCATTATGCAAGCGATCTAGTGCTTATTACTTATTCCTGTTCCGATCAACCAACCAGGAAGAATCATTAATGTATTGAATTGTGTTATTCCTCGGCGATCTAGTCCATGCGACGCTTTAACCCCACCTTCACGACTACAACCTGCGAAGGAGCTCCCGAAGCCCACCAGCCCGATGCAAGGACCTGAAGGCATAGGAAGATTCAAAAACGTTAATATAGACAATGGAAAAACTATGCCCAAGTGCGGGATGTAGTGATCTGGCGTATGGAAGAAGCCGGACATTATAAGTGTTGGATAGTATCAAACGCTACACCCGCCTAGCGAGCCAATCGCTTGTGGTTTATGATTAAGGGACAGCCATTTAGATCTATTAACCTGTGAGCTACCAGGTGATTGATCGAACGTTATGCTATATCCGTCGCTCTTTGCTAAGATCAACCCAGGCTGAACGTTAATAAGCGTCCATTGTCAATAGTAGGCCTGTGTACCAGGAGATCCCTCTGGTACCAAGCCTTCTTCTATAAAGGTCTGTAGAAAAGGATGATAAATCGGAGCATTATGGGGATGCTAAGCCCCTGGAGCGTTAGATAGGAAGGATGTGATTCAGAATTAGCCTATGACTAGGTAGGTCCAATGCAATTACTACACTATATATCCACCCCCATATATTAGGTCTTAGATTTACCTGAAGCAAAATGGGCAATTGCCTTCGGACCACTCCCCAAGAATCTCTGCCAAATCTGATAAATGGAACGTAGGGAACTTCGTTTCAATACGATCAAAGGTTCGTTCCCAACATTCATCGTCATCCCAACCCGGGTCGAAATCAATACCTCTAAGGCAGAGCGCTTCAACTTGAGACATCACATTGCCTGTTATCATAATCCTCAAGCCTTCTTCCATTGAAAAAAATCCTCCAAGACATAGTGCTTTGAGATGAGGCCACATAAAAGAACTCTCCAGCACTGAATCAAAGGGTATAGCCTCATATATATCCCAAGAAATTCGAAGGTGATATAGTTTCTTGTGTTTTTATAGCATCAGCTTCAGGCCCTTCTGAAGTAATCCTTCAGTACATTCGTCATCCACGAGAGAAAGCTCAAGACGTGTCAATAGGCTCTAATTTTTAGAGCTAATACCATTAGAAGGAGTAAAGAAGGACAACCCAAGGTTTCTTATGTAGAGGAGCCGGATTTTTGTATTCGATGTGGTAAGGGCATTGTAAATAGTTATGAATTCATTATGGCCATAATCTGCTCGTATCACAATCTCGAACCATTGGGGTCAGCCACCCAGAAGCGATGCCCTAGGAAGTCCCCCAGTCTCCGCGGGTCGCTAACGGACAAGAAGCAAATCCACGAGGTATGAACACCCAATCAGCATCTTACCTCATACAACTCGCCTCCGTCGCTAGTCAGTCAAGTCCTGATTGAAGCTCAAATGCTCACCCTGTGCAGGCGCGGCGCGAGAAGAACAGAGAAGCACAGCATGTCTTCCGCAAGCAACGGCAAGCTGCCGAAGCAGCACTGGGTCAGCACGCCAGGCGTCTCGAGGAAGTAGTGGAGGAAATAAGCTCTACCTTGATATGCCTATTCGACGAGATTCTCGCGACCGAGGCGCTTATAACCCGGCACCCTTCCATCACCACCTTTCTTAAGCAGGCCCTGGCTCGAGTATTGTCGTTGACCAAGGAGATTGCTACATTAGATGGCGACTCTTTATTACCAGCAGACGACTCGACGGCGGCATCTGGGGATTCTGCAGAACCTGTTCCCCAGCATATCATCGAGAATACAGTCACCACTTCTACCCAACAGAGACCCTCATTGCCCGGTGCTCCTCTTTCGCTTGTCGATCCGCCATCAGCTAGTAGGCAGAGCATGATGTCCCGGCCATATACTCCGTCGCTCGGCATCTATCGCCCAGCAACGCCAATCAGTGCAGGTTACACGCCCACAAATCAGTTGTTGACGTCTTTGCCGCTCACTCCCCAAACGCCTTTATCAACACCTGGGACCCTCTAATTCCCAATCGCCCGGAGGTACACTTCATCCAGCGCAAATTTCGTTTGAGGCAGCGCCATCCTTCCCTTTTCGACTTAATGAGATACCACTCACGCACGTATACTCTCTTATTACGACCGCGCCACTGGGCTCCATCCAACGCGAGTTCGGCATGACGCTTCGCCACCACAAACACGAAGACATCATTGCTTCCATTCAGTGGGCTCTCGGGCCCGGGAGGTGGTACATGTACCAATCCTCAGACCCCGGATTCCAAGGCGATCTTGATACTTTTGCTCCTGCCTCTGCGGATTCACTGGCCCTAACATCAAGCAGCGGAAAGAATACCGAATTCATCACTGCAGTCGGGGTATATGAACTATTGAATAATCTGGGGGTCACCATGGTAGACGTGGATACGATGGAGATTCAAATGACTAAATCAGGGACATCCCCCAGGATATCACTATATTCTGCGGGAACAAGAAGTTACTCTAGCTTGCTCTCGTCACCTCTTCTCGCTTTTCAACCTCCCACTACAACAACGAGGCTGGATGTGCCTCTGTTGATGTCGCGATTGATGCACGTCGAGGTCTGTTTCGAATCAGGCCCAAGATACCCGCGCGGGAAGTGTGGAGGGCCATAGAGGCTTCAGCAATAATAGCTTGACATGGTAAGCTGCTGGACAATTCGTATGGGATACACGAGCTGAGATTGCGCCTCCGCATGTCAGGGGTCCAATAGCAGTAGAAAATGACAGTCCTGCGCAAGCTATCTCTTATATATACGCCACAGAACGCACCCAGTCACCCGTAACCCTCACTTCTTATACAGCCCGAGAATCCATATCAACAGTCTCCTAGAGCTTACTAGTGACTCCTGGTTGAATTTGGTCCAGGATCGTCATTATTTCTGCGTGCAGACGTTTTGAGACAACCTGTCCCTCCTTGCTTCGCACAAAGGCACTGGGCTTTGTTACACGACACTCACTCAAGTACTGACCACTACTTTCCTCGCCGGATGCAGCAGCGTGAACGAGAGTGCGGCCTCCGACTTCTGTTGTGCGCGCTATCATCTTCTTAACGGTGCCAAAAACGAATCCTATGATGCCCTATGGCCAGAGTCAGCACAAAGTAAATGCCATTGCATCTCAGGCAATAACTCCGAGAAATGGATGCATACCTTTAGGTCCCTGTCGAGGTCGGAGTGACAAAGCCCTGGGTTCACGTTGTTCAAGATCAGTGGCTTGCCTGCGTTGGGGCCCTGCTTCATCGCCTCGTTAATGGACGCAACCAACATTACTTCTAAGAGCTTGGATACATCGTAGCGATCCATCATATTGGACGTTGCCTTTGAATTGAGGGCCTTGAAAATGTCGGGTTGTAACCGTTCGGTGAATTTTGCCTGCTAATATTCAATAAAGCTGTCTGGAGCGACTTGGGCGGGTGGTTGCGTACGTTGTGATGGCGCACAGAACTTGTAATCACCAGCCCTGGTGTCTGGCCGGTAAGCTCTCCTGATCTTCTCATAATGGGGAAGAGATTCAAGGCCAGCAGAAACGTCCCGATGACATTGACTTTGATCGTCGTCTCGAAGCCTTCGGTTCCCTCATACTCCGTTCTCAGGACGCCGGCGTTGGCAATAACCACATCGAGCCGGTCCAGAGCCTCGCACTTAAGCGCAAAGTCCTGAATCGAATCAAACTTATCCACTTCCAGGCTCCACACTTCGACAACATTATTGCGGCCAGTAGCCGATTCGATGGCGGCTTTGGCCCCATCTCCCTTCGTTTTGGATCTCACAGCCAGAATAACTTGAGCGGCTTCGAGGCGCGTGAAGTGTTTAGCTGCCTCGAAACCAAGACCGGTATTTGACCCGGTGACAACAATAGTTTGGCCTCTGAATGATTTCTGAGGTACCGGTATGTTCTCAAGCTGAGCTCTGAATTGTTCCATGCTGCGCGATACTCGCATGAAGTTCATGCGGAAGAGGACGAATACTCTTTCACGAACAGCCTCAAGCCCGGGTCACCCCTGTCTCTTTATTATTGAGCCGCGCGGATCAGTCTGGCCCTACCCAACACTTATGACCAAGCATGCTCCCACGTTTAACGGGTGTAAAGTTGAACAATACAAAGTCGGAAAGGCTACATAATTGCGGCCGATCGCAATCCTTGCGCACGAGGGCGCGTTTCTCCCCCGCTGTGGAACTCTGACTTGTCCCTTGTGCATTCGGTAAGGATGCATACTTTGCATGCTTTCTAATCCAGAGGTTCATCTCGGCGGCTGATACATGGGCACCTGCCGATCATCTCTAAGTCTAGTTAAGCTTTGGCTACCTAGTGGCAACTGGCCGGTTGCTAGGAATGGCACATCCTACCTAGCTTCAAATTCGGAACGTTGCCGTAAGAGACCGACGGACTGCGGGAACCGGCACAATTAAGCAGTGCGAGAAAGAATATGAAGTGGCGTCCACGTTAAAAACTCCCCGTCTCGCAACGTATACTCATGGAGTCTCTTTCTGCCCAGTGCCGTCAATATGCAAGCCCTCATCACACATCGCACCTTCTTCACAAGGGTCTTCAATGCCCTGAGCGGCAGGGCAATCTTCAGCCCAGGCGCCACAGTTCGCGACAATGTCCCCATTCCCAAGATCAATTCACAGCAGCTTCTCGTCAAGGTTAAGACGGTAGCCCTGAACCCCAGCGACTTCAAGCACATGGACGCTCTCGGCCTACCGAACTGTATACTCGGCTGTGACTTTGCCGGCGAGGTGGTCGAGGTTGGCGGTGGCGTTACCAGCAAGTGGAAGGTCGGCGATCGCATAGCTGGCTGTGTACATGGAGGCATGTACTCCGACGAGGGCGCGTTTGCCGAGTATCTTAAGGTTGATTCCGATATCGCCTGGCGAGTTCCTGATGATATCAGCGATGCAGATGCAACGACGTATGGCGTGTCGGCTGTCACAGCAGCGTACACCCTGAACACCCGGTTTGGTATTCCTTTCCCAGGCAGTGGCGAGACGCCAGCCCCTAGCGATGACTTGACCATATTCATCTACGCGGGTGGCACCAGTGCAGGGCTCTTCCATCTTCAATTCGCCAAGGCAGTTGGCTATACCGTTGTCACAACCGCGTCCCCGCGCTCCTTCGACCTTGTCAAGAAGTACGGCGCCGATGCCGTCTTTGACTATCGCTCTCCAACGCTCGTTGCGGACATCCTAGCTAAATATCCCAATCTTACCAAAGCGGTCGACTGCTTCTCCGAAGGCGCATCGTCATCTATTTGCGCTCAAGTATTGCAGCCGAGGGACAGCAAGGTGGTCATCTTGCTACCGAACGGTCAATCCAAGATTCCTGGCGTGCGGTATGATCCAGTCATGCTCTATAGCTGCTTTGGCAGGGCCTTCCAGATGCTGGCACCCATAGGGCCCAAGTTCGAGGCGTTGAAAGGGGATCGCGAATGGCTTGCCCGGTACTACAGCGCCTTTCCACACCTAGCGCGTATATTAAAGCCGATACCTATAGTCAAGCTTGATCCTGGATTCAAGGGTATCATGGATGGCCTGGACAAGCTGCGCAAGGGGATGGTCGCAGGTGGCAAACAGGTTGTTGAGTTGCGATCCTGAAGCAACCTGGCCACGGTGCTTTGCACCTTGATGATTACGGAGCGCTCAAACCCTGCCCAGATTACTTGAGCTGAATCTATCACCCTATTTTTATTTAGCTTGTATTTATGTTAATGATTCTTATAAAATAATATATCAATTTGATTTTATTTAAATTAGTATATAATTATCTCGAACGAGCGGCAGACCAGGCGCGTGGTCTCTACGAGGTAGTCTGAGTCTGCTCCCATCAGGTTGATGTCGATTTTGAACAAAATGTGTACAGAGAACCTTCAACACAGTGGATGAAGATTTCTATCCAACCAGCCATTGTCTCTCGTCGCTTGTACGGACTGCCTGCGTAATTTTTTGGTTTCTGCTGCGCTCATTCCACTCCATCTTCTCGTTCTCTTCGATTTCTTGCCTCTGCAGCGATATTCGACAGATATAGCGCACGATATATACGCCGTTTCTTTCGTTACAGATGCGTACCAGCACGCCTATATCATTATCGCTAGAAACGCCGGACAGAATAACAGCTGCATTATTAATTTCTGGGAAGCGTTCAATTATGTTGGAGGAGTTCTCGATATAGCTTGAACATTCCTCGAGCATATAATAGGCGTACGGCTGTGTAGTACCTCGCTGGAGGAAGACAACAGGGAGCGGTTGGCCGACTGGACACTGGGAGTGACGAAGCACCAATCCGGGCATGGTTATTAAAAGGCCCCATTTGCCAAGGTAACCAGGAGCATGGCCCACCGAATGAACTCCTTGACCAACAAAGTCCGAATCCTGAGACAGGAGGGAACGAGGCACCCACTTATATCCAAGGCGATTAATCCGTGGTCCTGGAGTAAAGAGCAAACCTACTGGTATATATTCCATTGACTTATAGAGCTCCCTCATTCTATTAGAAGGGTAAGCGCCCAAGATTCCATCTAGGCTGATGTCAAGTAGAGTCGCAATGCAGATTGGTTCGTCTTCCTTCTTGCTAGTTGAGCGAGTAGCTAGAAGACTTACGAGCGCTATAAGCTCATCAGCGATGAACCTTCTCTCTCGTCGATTTGCATCATTAAGATAGCCGAGACCAACCAACGGAGTAAGCATCGATAGAAGAAAGGAACCACTCAGAGGACGCGAGACCTCAGAGGGGTTGCCGCCCCAAACCGCAATGACAAGCTCTTTGTAAGTCGCAATCGATTCTGCGAAGCGAAAGACAAGCTCTTTTGCCAATACTGCTTCCTGTAGAGTCCAAAGCCTTCTAAGCCAGCTGCAGGAAGCGACCCGGGCTATTCTCTCGAAAGGATCATTTCCGACGTATAAGAGTTCCGGGATGAGTGCTAGGACTTTATCGGCTCCTTAATATGTCTCAGCCATTCGTTTTATGGCTTTCTGACGAAGGGCTGTTTTCCTAGAAGTGTATAGTGGACGAAGTACAGGGCGCAGAAGAGTTCCTACAAATATGTCGGATATATTTCGTGCTGTCACGTTCCAGCGTGCCGTTTCAATGGGGACACAGAGTGTATCCATCCACAGGATACTACACTGAAAATCTTCCCAAATCATGTCTCTGAGCCTCCGAATCTGACAACAGGGGAGGGAATTGGCGGATATATTACCTAGCCCTTCTGACCATACGTGGGATATGGCAATATTTTGTTTCCGGCTTGACTTCGATAATCTCTAGGGCTATATTTGATCCAGTTCCAGTAACTGAGACGACAGGTATCCCTCCGCATTCGAGGATAGAGCAAACAAGGTCTTGATCTGCCTCCATATGCTCGCAGCCGGGGCAATTCTCGACATAACGGGTATCATAATAATCCTCGTTTATCTGATCTGCTGTGCACTGATTTGAGCTACAGCACGAATGATCCTTCGTTGTAATGCATGGGAGCAGTCCTAGGTACAAGAGTGCACTATTAAATCCAGGAAGATGACGCACAATACTTGGACACCAGTTCCCGGAGCGGAGACGGGCGAGCAATAGGGGGTGGTGACAGATCAAATCGATGATATTTATTGCGATCTCCATTGGATAGTCCCTGCTTCCCATGTATGGGGACAGACCCAAGAATGCATGACTAGTGGCGCTGAGAAGTACTTTTAGTAAGAGAGTAAAGCTCAGAAAAAGGGAAACCGAGGTCGGGATGGCATTCAAGGCCTCTTCATGGACTTCGAAAGAGGAATAATCATAATAACGGCGCAAGGCACCCGACGCGCGACCGAAGATAGCCTTCATGTTGGCCAGATGATGCTGTTTTTCTTCTTGCGAATATCTGCGATGTTCGACTTCATCCAACCACTGTCGTATATACGCATCCAACCTTAAAGTCGAAACAACTGGTGGAGTTATATTATCAGATTCTATAAAAACCCAAGCACGGAATTGAACACCTTGGCTTATCAGGAAATGGTCTAGGATTCCGAAGAATAGCCATTCCTGAAAGAATTGATCGATATTACGATGCTGATGGCCAGAGCAGTCAAAATCTTCTCTCCCGAATCCTCGGAGTAAGGGGTACTCGTGGAAACTCTGGGGCTGGCTGCGAAACGCCTTCCGATAATCATCAGGGTTGCAAACGAGTGGCACTTTAGTGGCCTGGAATCGTGAATTTGCCGGAATTGGAATGTGGTCCATTTGTGAGCCAAAATTTTCAAGCTCTTGGTTATAACAAACAGGGCAGTAACCCTTTTGGAACGTTTGGTGCTAGGTCTAGCCCTAGGCAGGGTCATGATACCTAGTATTAGCAAGCTTGTGGAGAAGAGTAAAAGGTGAAGCTAGTGGTAAGCTTGAAGCTTTTAATTGTAATTATAAATCAGGTAGGGCTTAAAGGAGGAATGAGAAACTTGGACGTTTGGCACATGCAGACCAGAAACGAAAATAGTGAAATAAACCGACGATTTAGCTATAGTGAGCGAGATAGCTGCTTTTATGTCAGCAATAGTACTCTCAGATTCAGACCAATGGTAGCTTAGATATTTTTACAATGTATATCTTTGGGCGTTATCAGCCAATTTAGGTTTGACGGCGCTAAACGCATACTTAAATATTTGAGCGTTGCTAAGACTGGGTCCGAATTCCATACATTTTCGCCACTCAGAAACCTACTCTGCGCAGGGGGGTGGCCTAAAAGACACTTTTGATTTGCTCGGCATTCTTCAGGCGGATTGAAGAAGTTGAGAAGCCCGACCCGGCGGAAAAAACATGTGCAGGACCTTACGAGCCCGAGACCGGGCTGCTCTTATGAGGATACGAACAAGGGATTGTTGAGGATATAAGGGGCTACGGATCCCCTCTGTAATTACTAGTTAGAAGTAACAGTCTCAATATATCCCTTTTACCTGTGAAGCTGAAGCAGTTAGGTAGCGACACCAACAGACTAGTTAGTGTAAACCCACATCCCCTTTGGCCTTCAAGGATCCTTCTAGTATGTGAGCTACTAAGGATCTTTATATCCGTCTGACCGAGGTCAGAACCTTCCTTCAACCCGTACGGTTGATAAGATCAGAACGCTCTTCGGGCTATCGGGCCCGTGCCAATGACTCGGTATAGGTTGATCGTCAGGTTCGTGGGTTCGCGATTGATCCTACCGGCTAGGGTTGCTCGAGCCGATAGGTCAGGGCCTTAACGATCGAGCCCGATTAGGTTATCGTCTTCCAACCTAGCTGACTGACCCCTCTCGGTGAAACTGATCCTTCCAGGTCGGTTGCATCGCGGCTGCGGCTACTGCGTGATTGAACCTTACTTTTGCATTCGCAGCCGGACCGGCTTCCACGGAATTCCTGATGTTATTTACTAGTGAATTGTGTGTGCGTTCGAACAGGCTGGGCTGCGGGCTTCAATCCTCATAGATTATCTCAGTGGTTGACGATATATTCCTATCGCCCGCTTGGCACCAACATAGTCTGTTTGGATAATGGTTGTGTGATTTTTCCTGATAACTCTGATTTAGCCGAGTATGCGCCATTCTTACGGATTTGCTACCATGTTGATTCTTATGAGAGTTATGATCTACGACTGGATCGTCCGTGTTGTTTAGAGACGATAGGTGTTGTCATCGCGGAAAACGTAGTAAAAGAAGAAACAACCGGCATACTTCTACATTCGAAAGACACCAAGAGCCTATCCATACCAACCCTTCCGCCGGGAACGGTGCTTGTCCGCTCGGTGTCGCAGACCCTCGATCCGACTAACCGCAATTATAGGTTTCTAACTGCAAGGTGCACCCGCCGCGGCCTGCCCGTCGTACCCGCATTTGTACTCACGGATTATAAGGCTCAAGGTAAGACGTTCGCGGAAGTTCTTCTTGAGCTGCGAGGGAATCGTGTCACCAATGGCGAGCCATCGAAGTGCGACTTCACCAGCCTCTATGTGCAGCTATCGAGGTGCAGGACACTGGATGGCATCAAGCTGCTCAGTCCCGTGCGTAGTCAGGATTTTATCGGGAACAAAATGGACCACTCCATCGCCGAAGCGATGCAAAGACTCTCAAGTCTCGCTGCAAGAACGAAATGCGCCTACGAAGGCCGGGATACCGGGCAACAGCAACAATGAGATCAAGCACAGATGCTTTCTTACAATTTATCGGGTGACCTTATTTCCCGCTAATCATCGTTGTCTTCCTCGCCGTCTTTGTCAACCTGTATCTGCTTCTGCCTCTCTTGGTAATCTTTCCACAGCTTTTCGAAGGCTGGTGGGTTACAGAGTCGTCTTGTGCATCTTATCTTTCACCAATGAGATCAAAGATCCAGCCACATCACACCCACTAGATGGTTATTAATGCTATCCCCAATCAAAATATGATACGCGACAGCGTCTCTTGAATTATTTTCTCTTGAATATGTTCTCTTTACATCTCTTCATGAAATAGTCATCTTATAATCGTCATCTTGGTTTCAACAACTATCTTTCCGTAGTCCAGAAAGTCTCGGCTCCATAGCCCTGTATCATCTAGGAAAAGATAACATTATGGTCCGAAAGAATCGCAGCTCACTTCCCTTTCCTGTTTAGTGTGCTGTAAAGGGTATGCGGCATGGCGGGTATTGCCATCGAGACTGACACAATGCCTCAGTAAAAGCTCAAATGTCCGTAATTTTATTCGAAGTTTGTCTCCTGCTCTTCTATTGAGTTCCAGAGGCATGGGGTGCTGGGCAAAATGAAGGTCGTTGTCACTGCATTGTTCACATTTAATCTAGACTAGTTAACTAGTTACAGATAGCAACGTTATCTCCCCTATATTCGCCAGCTCATGGAGCATTCTACTAACCTCACTGTGGATGGTACTGCCCGGAGGGGCTCCCGTCCTGCGATGATCTTGGCTGCTTGTTCTGTATGTCTGCGGTGTGCTATATTGAGTGCCGATGTTACCGTATGTATGTGGCAGTGGAAGTTTGTGGCTTGCTCGTTGCTGTGTTCCAGGTGTGTGTTGACTTGAGGCCGTGTAGACGCTGCTACGCCAAAAGACGCGTCAGGACGCGTCTCTTGGAGCAACGGTCTGCTGGGGCACAGATTAACTGTGAAGTTGCAAAATATGTCTTGTTTCGAATTGAAGTGCTGAGCTGTTGGTGGTGTTGTTGTCGTTGTGATGTCCATTTGTTGAGCAATAAGTCGTTCAACCACCTCCGTCGCGGCTCCGGCGCGTCCTCGTCAATCTCGAAAACCGTAAACCGTTGTCGGGCAGGACAAATGGAGGACCCAAGTCCATTCTCCATCGTGGGGCGTACATGAGAGGGGCGCAACTCCCTCTACCGTACTGGGGCTGTAATGTTTGGTGTTTCGTGAGGTTTGAGATTGATTCCGACGCGTCGGTACGTTGTTGACAGAGTGTGGTTGTCTTCTTGGGGATAGGTTCTTTGCTATATCCGTCCTTCGGCTCCGCATCGGCATCGGGTACTGTTCGAGCTCCGGCGCCGTAAACGATTGTCGGGCAGGACAAATGGAGTACCCAAATCCATTCTCCATCGTGGGGCGTACATGAGAGGGGCATCACTCCCTCTATCGTACTGGGGCTGTAATGTTTGGTGTTTCGTGAGGTTCGGAGGTTCGGGTTTCGGCGCGTCGGCGCGTCGTAGAGAGGGGGATAATCGCGTCGTTGAACTCCTCTTGGCACCCAGAGACAGCCAAACTGTTTCTCTGAGAGTTCCCAGCGGACACCACGTGGAGGTGGGAGCTCGTCGAAAGTTTCTCCCTTAATTTCCCTTGGGTTGAGGCTTCCCGCTGACTATTGCCAGGATATATCCAAAGGGATAGGTTGTCACGGAGGATGTGTATGATAGATATGCTCTCGTCATCAGGCTCCTTGGCAAGCCCGTCAAGTTCAGCAATGGCATCATCAAAAGCACAATTGGCAAGATATCGGGCATGATCGTGTAAGTTCAGAATTTCATAGTAGAAGACCGAGACATTGAGAGCCAAGCTTAGTCGCAACCGATGAGTGGCCGCAAACTCGGTCTGCACCAAATCGGTAGCAATCTTAGAAGTAACACAAAATTTTCAGTCAACACTCTTGGATAATTCAAAGCCTAGCAACAGACTTGGAACCTACCTTGTAGGCATTGTAGGCTGAACTGACTGCAGCTGTGTGCTTTTCACCCGACGTGAACTCGGCTAAGTAACGGCTGTAGTCGCCCTTCCTAAAAACAGAGTGAGTCAGCCCCAGCGCTTTCAAGAAGTGAAGACCAGTAAAGTAGGCATATATTTTGTAATATAAGACCTTTGAGTCGACAGTGCCGGCATTGGGAATCAGGCTCCCGTCTAGCAGATCCAAGACGTCACTACAGATTGTCTCGAGTTCATTCTCAATCTTCTTGCGGTATCCACGGGTAGTGGTAATATGCTCCTCGTTAACCCTTGGCTGTTTCTGTTGTTCGATCGATAAGATGGTGCGCAAGCTGGAACGGCGGGTGCAGACCATTCTCGAATAAGCAATGGCAAGAAGGCTCCGCTCATCGACACTGAGCTCACCACCCGCGCCGATGACTTCCTTCAGGTGGAGGACCATATCGTCGTAACGCTCAGCCTTCTCACAGAGGTGAGCGAGGAAAGAATGGCTACCGCTATGAAGTTAGTGCTATGGTCCCGATGAGGGAGATCGAGTGGCCAAACTTGTCGCGCTTCATGATTCCTTAGGCTAAATCTTAAGGTCACTGGGATAGATAAGTCGTGTAATTTGAATTGGGATAATCTTAGGATTATGTGCACAGAACAAGATGTGACAGGAAGAAGCCTAAGGCGCATGACGGAAAACGGAAGGTGGTTTTATTATCCATCAACTCTCAAGTGTGATGGATCGGTCTCGAGATTGTTGGGCGGAAAGTGAGTTAACAGTCCAGCCTAAAGAGCGCAGCTACTAGGTGATAATGACTTCGAAACTCAACCGCTGCGCCTAGAACACGCAGGTTTGGCGGCGAGGAATGTGTTGAACCGGTGACGAATGTAGTGGTTGTGGTTTCTTTATTAAGGTCGTATATGGGGTATGGGGAAAGCATGCTCCCGAGACGGATCACGCGCGACACGGACCCCTTGGAAGTACAATTGGCAACAACCCACACAGGTCTAAAATGATATAGTCTATCATCCTCGCAATAAAGATGGCGTGTACAAATAATTCTTGCCAAATTCTTGCACCAGGCATTTGAAAATCACCCGGCAGTCACCATCCACATTTCTCGCTTAAGCAATCTTGTTATTATCGCAGAGCCTAAACGATTATATTTTCACTTCTTTTTGATTCATATTGTGGGTCTCTCCATCCACCCATCCTAATCGGGGTACATATCTAATAGTCTTCAAATATCTACTAGGATTATCGGTTCTACACCAGGACTTGGCATGGTGGCTTGACTGCATAGCAGATTGGTAGTTCGGGATTTTGTTTTGGTAGGAATCAGATTCCAACTTGGAAATACTTTCACAACGTAACAAACGGACAACGAAGAGGTTGAGGAACTGATTAGAGCTGTCCGCTTCATCATCAACCAAGTTGTTGCCTGCCTACTCCCGTTTTTCACCATGGCCTGGAGAGGGGCAATAGTCCCCATCGTCCCCTAGACTAGCTACAAGACTAGAGCTGGAACCAAAGTCAGCATCGGAGTCGCAGTTGGTGACCGGGTCTTGCTCAGGGCCGGCAAGAAGCAATGAATGCTGTAATGATGGCCGTTTCACCTTCTACGATTTGGCATCCTTCTTTCGGTTGCTGACATTACCATGTTCAGCTTTTGGCTCTTCATGTGATGGACGCTAACCAACATTCGTTTGGCGCATGACTTCTTGGGTTACGGCAAAGATATTTTTCGGTATTGGCTGTCCGGCACAAATCAAATTGCGATCAATTCAGCAGGGGTCGCGAATTCGAAGGTTGTAAGTTAGTGGGTCAGGCGTTGGCCAGGGTGATGAACACATTGAACACAAGGAGGATCGCGTAGATAGGCGTATAAAAAAATCAATCAACAGCATCCTGAATAGTGTCGTATCAAAGATTGCTATAGATCGTGTTGCGTATACAGCTTGGATCGTATTCCAGCCAATCAGCCATGGGGTTGTTCCCGCAGGATTACGCTCCCCCGCTAATGACATCGAGTCATCAAATGTCAGATTTCATTTAATCCATCTTGTTCATATGCCGCTAGACTGGCAACTTCCAGCAGTCAGTCAGTAAAGGCTCCACCAAAGTTCCAATTTTCCGTATTTGGACCACTCAGGTTGCTCGGCTAGACGTTGCGTTCACTCACTTTGTTGCTTCACTTGCATTGAGTTCTCTGACCCCCCGGCGTGGTCTCGCAACTGCACGGATGGCCCAGTGCTAATAATGCCTCTATGATTCTATGATTGTTCCTCCTGCAAGGTCAAAACATTTAGTCATAGTCTTATCTTAATGGTAGAGCTGCAGGATATAGCCATCCTCACCAGATGTCAGAAGCGTTGCTTCTTCCCGCATCAAACACTACGCACGGCGACTCAGCTCGGGGAATCCTGTAGGGGAGCCGTTCCACGGCATTTCGCCGCCAGCAACGGCATTGTGACTTCCAGAAACAGACTGCTCAGTGCCCCATACTCCTCCACCCACCCTTGACAGGCCCACCACACTGCAACGTTAAGCAAAGTTCCATTTGGGACCCGAGCTTTTGGTACCGGTAATACAATATTAACTGCTCGGGCTTATGTTCAAGAGACTATTCCGGATAAAGGCGCAAGGCTCGACTGATCATCCCTTTTTGGCCAGGAAATATTCTATATATAACTGCAAATACTAAACAAGAGGATTAGATAGAGTGGCAAAGGTCACGATGGAAAGTATATAAACCTCCTTCATCTTCCTCAGATCAAGCTTTTTCTTCATTCTACATAAACAATCAACAAGCATTTTTTTACTAATAACATTCCTTGATAACTCGTCAGTGTTTCTTTCCTGTCGGTTTCTTTTTAACTTTCAAAATGCATTTCGTTAAGACCATTGTCTCCCTCTTCGCCCTCTCCAGCTTCGCCGCTGCTCAGGTCCACGGTGAGGAGTTGGAGGCTGCCCTTGCTGCCCGTGATGTCGCCTACGAGGACCTTCTATTCGCTCGTGAAGAGTACATTGAGAAGCGCGAGCTCTTCAAGCGCGTAAGTTTCCCCTATTCACTCGACAGTGGAGTTGTTTCTTCGCTAACAAGAATGGCCCTTAGCTTCCCGGCCCCGGTTCCTGCAAAGGTATGGGTCTTCCCGGCGAGAAGACCTTCACCGTCTGCTACAACAGGGACAACCGCCCCTGCGGTGATTGCCGTAAGACTGCTAAGCGCGGTGAGGGCTGCCTTTGCAAGCGGTAAACAGCTCGCCCCCGGAACAGCCCTCGGATCTTACCAGCAACTTCTTGCATGATGATTCAGCCTATTTTGCAAAGCGTGGATTTAGACGAGTGGTGGAACTGGGCTGCACATCTATTATATAATAAATAGCATCTGGTTGTGCAATGAGCAATCTTGCCTACCTATTTATCCTAAAAGCTACTTAATATACTGGTTTATATTGGTTAATGTCTGATACATTCTCTAGCAGAGCCACTGGTCATATGACTTTTTATCCTGCAACAGACTTCAACATAGACTACTGTGCTCGAAGCCAAAGCCAGATAGTCATTCGGCAGACGGATGAGTTCCGTTGTTTCCAAGGCCTGTCTCAGCCTAATGATGCCAAGGGTTAGCTGTTGGCAGGGCCAGTGAATCGGCGGTAAAAGATATCTGAGCCGATTCCCGCACGATCCTCGTTGGCGTGATGCAAATGATTGAATCGGGCTATTGAAGCAGGTTGTGGAGAAAGAGCGAGTTAACCCGCGCACCGCGTACGGCATCGCATCGCGCTATCGGGTGCAAAAGAGAGGCCAGTCTCGCGACCGGGCTGGCTGCCCAACCAAAATCTTATGTGCAGCTAAAGACGAAGCCAACGAGGCATTCGCAGATGTTCTGGGGTGCTATTGTCGGCTGTAATCGCAGCTCACTCTTCCCGCTGCTCGGGACCCTGGATCTGCAAGAGGTGGTGTTACGGCTCGTATTCTATCGTGCTTGCAAGAGCAGCTTCCAGCGGTTGCAGAGCCAGGCATGGCATGCGTTCAAGATAACGCTCCTACACACACAGCCCGTATAGTCAAGAACTGGCTTCGTAGCTTCGCTCAAGAGAATGGGCTTACGCTGTTGGAGTGGCCTCCGTACTCCCCTGACCTCAACCCTATTGAAAATCTATGGAAAGTGCTTAAAGAGAGGATTTGCCAGCGTCACCCGGACCTCTCAGAGATGCCGAAGAATGACGAGTCATTACAGCGGCTGTGTGAGGCAGCTGTTGAAGTCTGGGAAGAGATTGAGCCCGTAATGATAGAGAACTTGGTTAGGTCAATGCGTCGCAGGTTAGCTGCAGTTATTGCTGCGCAAGGCTGGTATACCAAAAATTAAATATACCACTAGAATCTCCAGCTTCTAAAAAATATTCGGCTTTAAACCCGGCTTTGAAATAATAATAATTGGCTGCATAATTGAGCTTTAAAGTTGACCGTAATATTAGGTATGATTGGTGTTGTGGGGCATTACACGAAACTTCTGTAGGGGACTGTAGCATCCAATCACATGTAGAGTGTTGGAAAAAATAGAACCAGTCCTTGAACCCGTCTTTGCGGATGCCAGAGAAAGCTACCCTCCCTCCCAGCAGGATCTGACAACCAGCCGTGCACGGGTAAGGTCAAATCGGGCCGGTCTGCTCACCTGCTTTGCCTTGCGCTTTCCACTTCAAACATGGCAGAGCCCTGCAATTGACCTGGCGCGGCTGCACATCCCATCAGTCGGCAAGTCTATTGGCCTCACAAGCTGTGCCTAGCTACAGGGGTCTTTTTCAGCTGCTGACGCCTCCCTCCCCGCATGGAAATCCCGCAAAAATGTTGCTGCCTAAGCCATCAGTAGGAGCACTCCATCCTCATCCCGGCTCGTTGATGAGTAGAAGCCGTCTCCCTGATATCTTCATATCGCGCAACGAGACTAAGGTGTCCTATTCTCTATAAAAATGGCACCTCACTGGCTTGAGAAAGCCAAATCCAAGGTTATCAGGCCACGGCAGGCAGCTTCTCGAGACTCTACCCTGGCTCCCTCGTCACCATCACCTTCACCTTCCCCGCCTCAGCTTCAATGCGAACCAGTGACTCGATTGACGTCTCAGCCGACGACCTCTCCACCCACTCCGACAGATTCTGAAGCGTTGCCGCTGCCAAGCTTACAAGAGCGACTTTGGAATCAGGCCTACGACGAGCTCAAAGCCGGCGGGCCTAAACTGGTCGAAGCTTACGAGAGGATCTTATCAGCTGAACTCCGCCGAAACGACTCGAGCTCTGTTGACACCGAACTGACGGAAAAGGAAATAAGCAGCCGAGACACACGATGCCACCAAATGCAGCAGCTGGTTCATGCTGGGCTGGATCGGACGCAGAAGCAAGTGTCCATCAAGCGAGGCATCGACGAAGGCTTGCAAGCGGTGCAGGCGATAAGGGCAATGGTAGACAAGGCGGTTCAAGCTGCCCCAGAAGCCGCCGTGGCCTGGGTAGGCGTCTGCCTTGGACTAGAGGTGTGTATGTTCAGCTTTCGGAACCGCAGAGGGCGGTGGGTGACCCTCCCGCTAACGGATGCTAGATCCTTTCAAACCCCGTTACTGAGTCACGCGACAATCGCAAAGGCATCGCCTACGTCCTGTCGAGAATGGAGTGGTACTGGAACTTGGTGTCCCTACTTCTCGACGAGAACAAGGCCCGGTCATCCGCCACAGGACTACAAGTTCAACTGAGGAAACACATCGTGCAGCTCTACGAGAAACTGCTCTCGTATCAAATGAAAAGCGTCTGTCTTTACCGCCGCAATTGGGCAGCAGTCATCGGAAGGGATATGCTCAAACTTGACGACTGGGCTGGCCAGCTCAGGGAGATTCAGGAAGCCGAGGCTGCTGTGCAAAGAGATATGGAACAATACAATACGGAAGAGAGCAAGGAACGATTCCGGAAACTCACCGACATCGCCAGCACTATGGAAATGAATCTTCAAGACATCCATTCGGCCATCCAGGACCAAACTCAGCAGCAGGAGAGGAGACACCAGGATGACAGGGACAAGCAATGTCTGAAAGACCTGCGTGAGACTGACCCTCGCGATGACAAGACGCGCATCCAAGATACAAAGGGCGGCCTGCTCCGGGACTCGTACCGCTGGATTCTCGACAACAACGACTTCCAGCGATGGCGTGACGACCCGCAGAGCCAGCTGCTCTGGATCAATGGCGATCCTGGCAAGGGCAAGACGATGCTTCTGTGCGGTATCATCGACGAGCTCCAGAAGGAACCCAGCTTTCGCCTATCCTATTTCTTTTGTCAGGCCACAGAGGCTCAACTGAACAATGCAACGTCTGTGCTGCGCGGCCTTATCTACTTACTCGCCGTCCAGCAACCGTCACTTATATCACATGTTCGGGCTAAGTATGACGTCGCAGGTGAAAGGATGTTCCAAGGTATAAATGTCTGGGTATCTTTGGCTGGGATCCTTACGGATATACTAGGTGATCCGACCTTGAAAGATGCAATCTTAGTCGTTGACGCTCTTGACGAGTGCAGTAGCGGTCGATCCCAGCTTCTGGATTTCATAATTCAATCATCCTCGATTTCTTCATCCCGCGTCAAGTGGATTATATCCAGTCGCAACTGGCCTGATATCGAAGAAAAACTGGATAATGCGAGGCATAAGGCCAGGATGCACCTTGAGTTAAACCAGTACTCGGTCTCCAATGCTGTTGATATTTACATCGGGTTTAAGGTGGACCAGTTGGCGCAGAACAAGAGGTATGATCAGGAAACAAAGGATGCTGTTCAACGTTACTTGACTCGCAATGCCGACGGTACATTCCTGTGGGTCGCCTTGGTTTGTCAAGAGCTCGCAGAACCTAAGATCCGAAAACGGCATACACTCTCTAGGTTGAAGTCATTCCCTCCAGGACTTGATGCTCTCTATAGCCGAATGATGGAGCACATCGACGAGTCGGAAGATGCGGACCGTTGCAAGGAAGCCTTGGCTATCGTTTTGGTTGTATATCGGCCTATCACCCTAGAGGAACTGAAGGTTCTGATTGAGTCGCCCGAGGACCTCGACAAGGGCGAGTTGGAGGAGATCATTAAGGACTGTGGCTCTTTTCTGACACTTAGGGAAGATATTATCTACCTTGTGCATCAATCAGCCAGAGATTTTCTGCTTCATAGGGCATCCGATAAGATCCTACCAGATGGCATGATGCCGCTGCATCATGCTATCTTCTGTAGGTCGCTTAAGGCTCTGTCCAATACGCTACGACGTAACATTTACAGTCTAGACAATCCAGGATTCCCTATTGATCAAACCTCAACATCAGGCCCTGACCCATTATCCTCGATCCGATATCCTTGTATCTACTGGGTTGACCATCTCAGCAACTCCGGTCCCGCAGAGGAAACAAGAGAAAAGGACTTACAGGAAGGTGGCGTTGTGGATAACTTCCTACGAGAGAAGTATCTGTGCTGGCTAGAATGTCTGAGCCTGTTACGCAGTATGTCAGAGGGGGTCGTGGCAGTGGATAAGCTCCAGAATATAGCAGTGAGTTGATGCGACTTTATGCACACTTGAGACGTTCTTATATATTCTGACATATTGATAGAGAAGGACGGAATCACGACGACTAACAGAACTGCTTCAAGATGCGTACCGCTTCGTTCTTTCTCACAAGCCAGCTATAGAGATTGCTCCGTTGCAGGTCTATACATCAGCCCTTGTATTTAGTCCTGCTCGCAGCCTAGTCAGAGAGCTTTTCAAGAACGAAGAGCCGGACTGGATTACAGTAAAGCCGAGCATGGGGTCGGACTGGAATACTTGCCTGCAGACGCTTGAGGGTCATAGCGATCCAGTATACTCAGTCGCGTTCTCGGCGGATAGCCAGCGGCTTGCATCAGGCTCAGATGATAAAACAATCAAGATCTGGGATGCAGCAACAGGCGCATGCTTGCAGACACTTGAGGGCCATAGTAATTCAGTAAGCTCGGTTGTGTTCTCGGCGGATGGCAAGCGCCTCGCATCGGGTTCATACGATAACACAATCAAGATCTGGGATACAGCAACGGGTGCATGCCTGCAAACGCTTGAGGGATATAGCTATTCAGTGATATCGATCGTATTCTCAGTGGATGGCCAGCGGCTTGCATCAGGTTCACATGAAGAAACAATCGACATCTTGGACATAGCAACAGGCGCATGCCTGCAGACGCTTAAGGGCCATAGTGATTCAGTATACTCAGTCGCGTTCTCGGCAGATGGTCAGTGGCTCGCATCGGGTTCATATGATGAGACAATCAAGATCTGGGATGCAGCAACAGGTGCATACCTACAGACGCTTAAGGGCCATAGCGGGGGGGTATATTCAGTTGTGTTCTCAGCAGATAGCCAGTGGCTCGCATCAGCTTCATATGATGAGACAATCAAGATCTGGGATACAGCAACAGGCGAATGCCTGCAGACGCTTGAGGGTCATAGCGATCCAGTACACTCAGTCGCGTTCTCGGCGGATAGCCAGCGGCTTGCATCAGGCTCAGATGATAAAACAATCAAGATCTGGGATGCAGAAACAAATGCATGTCTGCGGACGCTTGAGGGCCATAGTGAAGAAGTCAGCTCGGTTGTGTTCTCAGCGGATGGCAAGCGCCTCGCATCGGGTTCACATGATAAAACGATCAAGATCTGGGATATAGTACCAGGTATATACCTTCAGACACACGAGGGCCATAGTGGCCCAGTAAAGTTCATTGTATTCTCAGCGGATGGCCAGAGGCTCGGATCAGCCTCGGATGATATGAAAATCAAGATATGGGATGCAGCAACAAATACATGCCTACAGACGCTTGAGGGCCATAGTGGAGAGGTAACCTCGGTTGTATTCTCAGCGGATAGCCGGCGGGTCGTATCTGGATCACTTGATGGGACAATCAAGATCTGGGATGCAGAAACAGGCTCATGCCTACAGACGCTTGAGGGCCACCGCGAGGGGGTGAAGTGGGTTATATTCTCAGCGGATAGCGAGAAGCTTGCATCAGTTTCAGATGACGAGACAATCAAGATCTGGGATGCAGTAATAGGTGAATGCCTACAGACGCTTGAGGGCCATAGAGATTGGGTAAGGTCGGTCACATTCTCAGCAGATGGCCAGCGGCTGGCATCAGTTCTAGACGATGACACAATCAAGATCTGGGATTCATCAACAGGCGCATGCCTACGCAAGCCTAACGGCCATAGCAAGGCAGTAAGCTCGGTCGTATTCTCAGCAGATGGCAAGCGGCTCGCATCGGGTTCATATGATGAGACAATCAAGATCTGGGATGCGGCAACAGGTGCATATCTGCAGACGCTCGAGGGTCATTTTGATTCAGTATACTCAGTCGCGTTCTCAGCGGATAGCCAGCGGCTCGCATCGGGTTCACTTGATAAAACAATCAATATCTGGGATGCAGCAACAGGCGCATGCTTACGGACGCTTGAGGGCCATGATGACGGCGTATACTTAGTTATATTCTCAGCGGATGGCCAGTGGGTCGCATCAAGTTCATGTGATGAGACAATCAAGATATGGGATATAGCAACAGGCACATGCCTGCAGACGCTTGAGGGTTATTGTGGTTGGGTATACTCAGTCGTGTTCTTATCGGATGGTCAGAGGCTCGCATCAACTTCGGGCGATAATACAATCAAGATCTGGGATACAGCAACGGGTGCATGCCTACAGATGCTTGAGGGCTATAGTGATGGGATAAGCTCGGTCGTATTCTCAGCAGATGGCAAGAGGCTTGCATCGGGTTCGGGTGATAACGCAATCGAGATCTGGGATACAGCAACAGGCGCATGCCTGCAGACGCTTAAGGGCCATGGAGACAGGACATACCTGGTAGTATTCTCAGCGGATGGCCAGTGGCTCGCATCAGCTTCAGGTGATAAGACAATCAAGATCTGGGATACAGCAACAGGTGTATGCCTGCAGACACTTGAGGGCTACAACGAGATAGTGAGCTCAGTCATGTTCTCAGCGGATGGCCAGCGGCTCGTATCGGGTTCATATGACAAAATAATTAAGATCTGGGATGCGGCAAGAGGCACATGCCTACAGACACTTGAAGGTCATGGCGACAGGGTACATTCAGTCGTGTTCTCAATGGATGGTCAGAGGCTAGCATTTGTTTCGGGTGGAAAGAAAATCAAGATTTGGGATACAGCAACAGGCGCATGCCTGCAGACGCTTGAGGGCCATAGCAGCTGGGTATGCTCAGTTGTGTTCTCAGTGGATGGCCAGCAGGTTGCATCAGGTTTACATGATAAAACAATCAGAATCTGGGATGCAGGAACAGGCACATGCCTACAGGCGCTTGAGGGCCATGATGAAGAAGTAAGCTCAGTTGCATTTTCAGCGGTTGGCCAGCAGGTCGCATCAGGTTCACTTGATAAAACAGTCAAGATCTGGGATACAACAACAGGCGCATGCCTGCAGACACTTGAGGGCCATAGTAGCTGGGTATGCTCAGTTGTGTTCTCAGTGGATGGCCAGCAGGTTGCATCATGTTCACATGATAAAACAATCAGAATCTGGGATGCAGGAACAGGCACATGCCTACAGGCGCTTGAGGGCCATGATGAAGGGGTGAGCTCAGTCATATTGTCGGCAGATGGCCAGAGGGTCGCATCAGGTTCACGTGATAACGCAATCAAGATCTGGGATGCAGCAACAGGTGTATGTCTGCAGACACTCGGGGAACATTGCTCTCCAGTAGACTCGTTCGTGTTCTCGGCAGATGGCCAGCGGCTCGCGTCGGTATCAAACGAGGAGACAATCAAGATCTGGGACGTAGCATCGGGCACATGCCTGCAGACGCTTGAGGGCCATAGTAGTTGGGTATACTCAGTTATGTTCTCAGCGAATGGCCAGTGGCTCTCATCGAGTTCGGGTGATAAGAAAATCAAGATCTGGGATGCAGGAATAGGCGCATGCCTCCAGATGCTCGGGGAACATGGCCCTCTCCCCTCTACTGACATTGGAATTTTAAACCCGGATCTAATGCCTGTTATCGGTTATCAGTCGAGTGAGACCGCTCCACGAGGCGTTAGTCACCCTGGTTATGCTCTTAGCAGTGATAATATATGGGTTGTGAAAGATGGGAAGAGTATCCTTTGGCTACCTCCGGAGTATCGAGCCTCTGCATCTGTCGTAATGGAATCAACAGTCGCTATCGGCTGCCATTCAGGTCGTGTACTGGTGATGAAGTTCTCTTCTTGCCAGTAGCCAAAATGGATCACGGTCAAAAGGTCAGTGGATTCCTCAAGCCCAAGCCTATATGTAGGGAATTCTTCCTTGGGCAAGCTATTTGGAGAGAAGAGATAAATAATCCTATGAATCCGACCCTAGCTGCATCTCTCTGCAAATACGCTCGCTATAGCCAAGCATCTGATGTATTGCGCCACTCTCTCTACAGTACCGGCACCAACACTGATGACGTATATGGGTAACGGTAGTCTAAGTAGTCAGCAGGAATCTATACTCTTTGTTTATATCTAGTTCTATGTACGTATGTACATACATACCTTGCTCTCCTTGGAACAAACAATATTCCCTTGGCTGACTTCACCGGATAGAGGGGTAGTATCGTGGCAGGTTTGGTTGGGGCATCGTGCTGTTGCCAACCGTTGGCCGCTTAGAACAGACTTGGAACAGGGAAAAGCACAGAAGCTGTAGTACTAAAAATGTCTGGTCACACCACGTCCTTGTGCATATTTCAAGTCCTAACAACTTCATCGGTCAATAACAATCTTGAAGAAAAAAAGACGAAGAACAAAAGGACAAAAAATCACACACAAACACAGCAAAATGTAATGGAGTTAACGGAATGAACTCTTGGAATTGCGTATTATGAGATATCGCCAGGCGCCGATCCCTCGAATTGAGGAAAATCCGCGATGCAACATTTTTTTTAGCTTTATATTGAGAAGAATGGAAGTTAATCTAGGTACAGAAGGCCTACTTCTTGACCATTTCAGTCCCTTGCCACGCCTAAACTTCGATATGTCAAAATCATTATCATTTCCTGTAGCCAACTTGACCGTAACAAAATCAATCCTTATCACCTTTCACATATGAGATGAAGTTCCTCTTAGCCACCGGGCTCTGTATAGTAGTTACATGATTGCACGTAATTCCTAGCGCTGGTATATCTAGAGCAACCGCCAAAGTTACCTTCTCAACTGGAACAATCAAAGCCATTAAAAGCCAATTAGTGCAGCAATACTCTCTCTCTCAAGAAGAAGAATAAAGACAACCACCAGTCCATCAACTGACACTCTACTGAGACTTGAGTGGCCGAAACCTCCCAGTTCGATGCATACTGTTGAGGTGGTTGATCAAATCAAGCCCTGAAGCCCATTGTGCCGTATCCGACAGGCAGAATGGGCAAAAATAGATTGATCTACCACCCACAAGCCTAAGACCCTCGATGCCCGGGGGTCGATTGTGCATCCGCACAAACCCATCCAGGTAGTCCCTCAGCGGTCCACGAGGGAACATGGGCCAGTTCTTCTGGAGGGCCTGTTCCTCCTCCGACTTCGAGACTGATTGCGCCGCCGGGTTCACCGCTTGGTTGACGTTGTTGAACGGGAGGGCGGTCTGCTTGGGCGGGCCCAGAAGTTGGCGGACATCTTCGGGGCTTGGGAGGCCACATATGGCGGGCGTGGTGGGTGAGGTGGAAGATGCCGAGAATGGAGGGGTGATGTAGGGGCTGGGCCCGGGGGCCGAGAGTACCACAGGGCTTGCTTGACCCCCATTTGTCGGCGTGGAAATGGGTGGCCCTGCGCCACTCATTGGAGATGTTTGAGGTCGAGCTTGGGTTTGTCTTGATTGAACAGGCCGAAGCTGGATGTTGGGAGTCCGACGAGCACGGGGTGGAACCACCGGATGCGAATTGGATCTGGGGACAGCGGTTGTTGGTGATGGCGTCCAAGCTTGGGATTGAGGCTGGATCTGCGGCCGAGTCTGTGTCTGCACACTGGCTCCAGATGAAACATGAAGACTTTGCAGAGGCTGAGGTGGTCCCTGAGGAGGTGGTCCCTGAGGCTGAGGTAGTCCCTGGGGTCGAGGTAGTCCCTGAGGTTGAGCTAGCACTGGACAGAAAGACTGGACTAGACTGTGAGAGTGAATCTGGGACTGCGGTTTCGCCAATTTCTGAGTTTGAATGGGAGACTGTAGTGGTTTCTGAGTACCAGGATAGATTTGTGTCGGAAAACGGGGTTGTAGCTGAGGTTGAGGCTGAGTATGGTGCTGGGCTGACATATCCAGCCAAGGTTGACTATGAGCTTGGAATTGTATCC